ACGTCGGACGATAAACAGCGTAGCAACAAGCTTTACAAAGGACTTTGACTGATGTCTTAATTTGTGTATTTACAAAACCTTCTACATATACACATACTGTGAGATGTTTTTGTACCCTGTTGATTTTTTCATTTCAAAACCCGTTCCATTCTTTCTCATCGCACTACTTATCCTCTGCTCATTTTGACATCCTAGTGGCTGTTCTCTTTGTTTTTGATTGCCTGTGGCATCATTTATCTTTGTATTGTCTTGCCAGACTGGTCTCTGGATCCGATCACTCATTGACTCACCGAAAGTTAGAACACATACGTTTATACATAATAAAATCACATTTCATTTCCCACACTCCATTCACATTTCAATCATTCCTATCTACTTGCGAAATCATGTCAGAACCCTCTACTTCTACAGAACCCAAGCGTATCATTCGAAAGAGGGTGACCGGTGTGTCAAAGGTCTCTACGAAAACAGAACAAAACCCCCCTCCCGATCCCGCTCCTCGAACCACTCGAAGTAGTCTCAATAAGAGAAAACTGGACGAACAACCTGTGATAGCACCAGGTGTGTCAAATTCATCAACAGTCTACTATATAAAGTGGTATAATGATCATCCAAACTAACTATTATAACTTTTACACTGCAGAAAACCCAACAAATGAACGCGGAAGTCGTATTCGCACCATGTTGGATAATTTAGGCGTCAAAGTGCCCAAATATGCACGGAGGAATCGACTGCTTGATTTGCTTTCTCGTCATGTGGTAAAGAAAACGCGGCGAAGGCCTGGAGAAGAAAATTTAGTGGCGGATATTCTTAGACCTCGAAATGGCACCGTGAAAAAATCTTGAGTCAAGCGTCAAGTTAGCCCAGAAACCCTCCCAGAACTCTCACTTCAATCCAGTACGGTGCATGAAATCGAGCTTCCATCCAGTCCCGACGACAAAGATGACCTTCCGCTGTTCAGTACATCCAACAAAGTGAATTATGCACATTACACGGATTCTGAACTTGTCGCCATGATACTTCAGGTGGGATTGGAAGCCGATGGTTGGGATCGAAAGAGACTGATTGCCACATGTCGGACATACGATGATCTAAGTAAGACAGCATCATCCTATTATCTAATTATTTTAAAACTGAAATCTATGATTGATTGATTATTCCAGTAATTGTTCCGGAAAACAATGACCATATGGACACGACGAAGAAAACTTTGGATGGTGGTATGGGTGTGCATATCTTCCTTTTCGGCGAGTCTTAATAGTTCCACCTGGTCATGATCACATTTGTTCTCAATGCCATGCTCATCTATTCGAATTTATCTCCTATTTCCCAGATACGGATTTGAATGATGCGAACATGAACAAGGCGGGACCTTCATCAACCGTCGCTTTCAACAACCAGGGTAAGCGCCTTCTTTGTTCTTGATGCATTCAGATCGCCCTACTTGGTAAAAACCCACGTTCTCATTACAATATCAATCCATCTGACTATATTTGCCCTTTTGCAGATACTGAGTTTGATGATGCCGCTGCATCAATAGTCCTTCTCAATAGCCAGGGTAAGCACAACATCAACTTTGATTGCATCGAGATCTATCTGATTAGATGAATCAGATACAATCTCCATCTCACCCGAGCAACAGGATATCAGGGAAACTACGGAAGGTATGGGCAAAAATTCCTTACAAAGTCAATCACACCATCAATTTTGATATTGAGAATTTCAAACTTCAGCTTCCGAATCAGGCAAAACAGTAGAAACAGAAATCAAGTCATCATCTACTAACCAGCCGATTATCAAGAAGAAGTCGCGCGCTCATACTTGTCGGCGTCCAAATCCAGCAACCAAACAGCCTCCGCTATCGAGGAAAGACAAAGGAAAGGCAAAATCAAATGATCAAGATGATGTTAGCCTGAATGAAAATAGTGCGTTCACAGATGCAGCCGATACATTTGATAAAGGACTCTCTGGAAGATCATCGCCCGCAAGGCAAATCCGTCAACACAATTCATCCGAGCCCTACAAATCCGACTCTGAAATCGAATTTCCGACTACAAAATCCTCAGAAAAACGTAGTCGTTGACGCAAATCATCCGAACCCTACGAACCAGACTCTGAAGTCGAAATCTCAAGGCCCAAAACTTCAGAAAAACGTGCAAGATCACAGAGTCAACGGTCCGACGCTGCTGATGAGAACCCGCAGACGACCGAGAAGAAAAACGAGAGCTGGATCATTCAAGCCATCTGTGGGTGTTTACTTACACTGTATACAGCTGAAACGTGACCTAATTTGTTTTTCATCAGACAAAATACAAGATCGTCTCTCCAGGACTGAAAAAAGACAGGATGACATTTTCAGCGAGATCAAGATGCTCTCCGATGTTGTGCATAAAGGTGTTTCTAGAAGTCCTCACTCCAGCCCCGAAAAAAAGACACGTGGCGGACAGACAGCTGTAAGTACCCAACTGGTATTTATGAATGGACCTGATTACTGATGACTGTATAATAACATATTCAGGCTCGCCTCCGTTTCCATGTGGAGACGATGTTTGGACTAACGGATGGTCAGAAGACACTTCCAAGCGGGCCCACCTCATCCGAGAAAGACTCTTGGATGTGTGAAATCAATCCAAGCGGCCTTCGATTGGACGCATCTCTGTTGAATGAACAGATGTCTGATGCAACGGATCCCTGCTTCCCTTATCCAAACGGACCTGGACATAAGGACGCCACACCTCGACAACTACTGATCATCTGGAGGATGATGCAAAGCGTGGGTGTATCCAGCTTTCGACCAGATTTTACCGATTCTCAAAAATCAGCGGACAACAAATGGCTTTGGGACCTTGCCCTCCGAATATTCTTGAAATTGGTGGAATGCGGAGAGTATACCGGTGTTCCAACGAATCATGACAACAATGAGTTTATAAAGAAGTGTCTTCAAACCCATATCCGGTCTCTAACAAAAAGGTCTGTCACTTATTTCACTTCCAAATACATTTGCATAAAACTGACCATACCAACAAACAACTTTCACATAGGTACCAGAACGAGAATTGGGAGCAAGAACGTCGAAAAAAAACTTCGGATGAGACTCGGAGAGGTGCAAGACTTAGATATGTAAGACAATACAGTTCCATTTAGGAGTATATTAGACGTTTCTGACCATTAACCCAACTCATGCAGTTGCGACAATTACGCGAGACCTATTTGTTGGCGAATCGTGAGCTTTGGCCCCTTGCGAGGATTGTGCCGCTTGCATGTAGTGACGACGAGAGAGACCTTGAACAAACCTCAACCTCTAGCTCTCATGGTCCGGCGATACCTTGTGTAATACGTACACTCGAATGGCGCAGTGAGATCCTCAAGAAAATTTGCATGCTACTCGATGACACTAAGGCCAATGACGATTCAAGCAAGCCGCGCAAAAATCAATCAACTCCGAGACAAAGTGGCCGCCCTAGCCGCCCTCGTATTCGATCTTTGGATGGACCACAGAGTCACGTACCTGCTCCGACCAAACTTCCTGTCGATTGCTACTCTGCCACATGGCTCGAGACACTCTCACCTCTTGAAATACGGCATCTGGAAATCGATCCGGTCCCAATCTTGAGTGAACTGCTTCAACTTGTTCAAAAGCTTTGACAAGTTGATTTATACAGGTAATTTTAGCTCACAGAATGCTTGAATCCACTGGCACTCAATATTGACCGCATATTCTGTCTTTGGTATCCTAGAACTATACTGCGATAAACTTACAAACATACATCTGACGGGTATTGTGCTGGGGTCTCACTGCAAGTAAAGATCTCTTATGTGAAAAACCAATATGTGTTTAGCAAGATATGAACAAGAAATTAAATAGTAGATATGATGTACGAGACTACCATAACAAAAAAAATTATATAAGATATGAACAAGAAACTGTATGAGCGCAAAAAGTAGAAAACAGTGAAGCAAAGTATTGAATTTATAATATGAACAACGAAAGATAATCATATGTATTTAAAATATGGACAAGAAAAAAATAATCAAGCAGAGTAAAAAATCATGAAAGAGTGCATCAAACCAGTGTGCCTATTGATCAAATAGTTAACATATGAACAAGAAAAAATAGATGACTAGATGTAGTCGGGTATCATCGTACCATTGACACCACGGCTAGCGTCGAGAGAGTCAAGCTCCTGTGTAGCTCCTTTGGTTTGTACATGAGCCATGCACAATGTGCGATTATCTCGTTCAAATTGACAATGAGATCTTCTGGCAAATCCCACTTGAGTAAATGTGCCTGTACGTCAGGCTTCCCAAGGCTTTTGAATGGATCATACATATTTGATGGTAGTGGCTGAAATCCGTGGATATGGACCCATGTCTCTATCACATTATGATTTGGCTTTGAGGCCCGACGGTGTTCAAATATCTTTGATATCCTACCGAAACGTTCAGATTCACTAGGGCTCGTTTTGAAAATGACAAAACTATTGTTTGGATTTGCCGCAAATGTTGAAAAACTGACTCCTTGGTGTTCAACTTGTCTATGAAAGAATGCACGTGGAGGCACTGGTGCATGGCCCAGTGCCTCGTCTTCTGAAAATGTAGCCCATTCGGTTGGATTTACCCAAGTACAATCTTCATGCCTTTGAGAATTCAGGCGCCTGATTAGACGGGTGAGGACTTTCTCATCCAGTGGTTCCAGCCTAGAATTTGACATGCGTCTAGTTTTTGGAGGTGGTGACTCATAGAGTGATTGCAATCGGGTGATGTATGGTTTCAGAGCTTCCGGAAGCTTGTCATTCTGCAGCAGAGCGGACAAATTACCTGCACGACAGAAGTTTTTGAGAAAAGTTATCTCAAGTTCCCCTGTCAAAGTATGTTGGTATTTGACATCAGCTCACATTGATATCCGTAAATTGATTTTCAAAGAAAGCTTGAGTTGTACTCACCGATATGATTGTTGTGACAAGCCTTCAATATACTGCCCATCAGACGCTCAAATGGAAAAGACCACCAGGCACGCACCGATCCAAATCGCTCAAGACAATCGGCCAGGTGGATAGCCATATGGTGATTGGGGGCCGGTTTAGTATGCGGAAAAAGTATCACTGAGCCTTTCAGGTATTCTTGAATATGGTGTTTGTATCTTTCAATATGTTCGGCAGTGAGTGAGCGTTTCAGAGCCAAATTCACCAAGGATACTAAATGTCCAAAGTTTTGTAGAAGTGAAGTTTTCACGTGATCTATACCAGACCACAACGGAATCAAGATTAATGGCAATTGGATGGAGAAAAGATTTCTCCATTCGTCTGCTTTGAGTTTACCGAAGGAAGCTTTTCCAAGCACAGGAATTGCTCGCTTTATCCATGTTGGGATGTGGATTCTTGGGAGCATTGAATTAATCATTTGTAACATAGTTGCATCAAAGATGATCTCATCAACAGGTGGAGCACTCCATGCACCGTCCCAACCACTATCAGCAAACGGATTAAAATCTGTATCGCTTGAGTCTGTATTGTCACCAAATGAGACATCCAAGATATCATCGTTGTTCACGTCTTCCTGTTTTGGATGAGTCGAGGTTTGATTTTTGGGGATCGGTTTTGAATGTTCGGCCAATAGATCGAGAAGTTCCTTTGTAGTGACTGTTGGATTCTCTTCTTCTTCGTTAGTGATTTCTTTCATTGCCCAGAATCGTCGACAGTGCCACATGAGGAGGCCCAGCAATAAATTGTGCATTGAATCTACAACGTGGAACTCAACAATATCCCAATACTCAAGGTCGATCAACACAGAATGGCGAACGCCGTGGGTTTTAAAAATTGCCTTTCGTTCCGCAACTGTCTGAGCATCACGCGCTTGACGGGCCCAAGTCTTATGCTGTAAAGATGTACGCAAAGGCCATGACTTCGGGTCAAAGTTTTTGATATCGGATTTTTTCAGAAGACAGTAAGAACAAAAATATGTAGCCGTTGCACTTGGGAAACCAAGTGAACGTCGGAGAGCAGGAATGTCGGCTAAAAACGGTAGGAGGGCTGCTCGAATCCGTCGTCCCTCTGGGTATAGGTGGGTTTGAGATAAAAGAAGTCCTGGATTCCATAGTCCTTGAAGTTGAGTAACAATTGGGCGCAGTACCCAGTTCATCTGTTCGAGTGATGGCTCTCGGGGACCTGGGACAATCCCAGCAACAAATACATTTTGCGGCCGATAACGGACTCTGAAAGGAAGGGTGAGGCACACTAGAACTATGAAAGAGATACTAGTATGATGGCCGCTTTGTTTATTTCCAAATGGATTGATTCCATCCACAAACATCCCAAACATTAAGTTACCGCTGGTGGCACCGAACGGCTTTCCATCAAGCCCCATGAATTCTTTCCAAACCTTTGAATGATGAATGTCAGAGATCTCGGAAGTGGGGTCGAACGGCTTTGCTGACTCTTCAAGGGAGTCATCCAACCATGATTCAACATTCGATCGGGAAAGAAAACGTGCAAGCCAATTCTCGAGGCTCTGGAATGCATACTGGTGCACAGCTTTTTCCTTTCCTCGGGAAAATTGTATGAGTGGCTCGCCACAGGTTGTTTTGGCAAAGTCGTAAGTCAAATTGCTGTTTGGCTTGTTTTCATCAGGAGGTCCTCCAGGAATGCGCGCAATACGATGATTACATTCCATCGGCGTGTTAGTCAGTGGATATAAAGCAAAGCACACTCTGCAGCAGTTCATATAGATCAGATATGGTTCAAGTTGAAGCCATCCAAGAACCGTGCCAATGGTTTTTGGAATTTGCTTTAGAACTGCAGCCTCTGAAGCCTCAAGATCGGCTCGTATACTCTGTGATAGACTTGATACAAGGCCTCGGGTCAAAGACAGCTCAATCGTAATCCGCTGTATATCAAGGATCCATGAACTCGTAGCTCTTGAGGAATGATCGAATATGCTCATGATAGCCGAAGTCAGTGAAGCATGAAGACACAGCGCATTCACATTTTCGAGTGTGAAATTGTGAAATTCAGCTTGGGGATGTATGCAATGAGATATCAATCAGACCATGCTTAGAAGACATATAATTTATATGTAGAAAGGATTATGTTTGAAAACCTACAGCAGTCAAAAGGCTTCATGCCCATACTCCTTGCTACGACCGCATCAGAGCTTACTTCAGGGAGATTTCCTTGAGGTTCTTCTTGACCAAGCCGGTCAATTTCCTCATTGGGTACAAGGCTTGAAGTTATTGGATCATTTGTTTGGGTCGGAAGCTGTCATGGGTGATGAGCAATTAGCTTTCAATTGAGTTCTCAGGATCAAAGCTCCATGATTGGCGTACGTGTTCTGCGTCGGATACTGACAATGTGGAGGGTTGAACAGATAGACTTGCAAGCTGCTCAGTGAGCAGATCGCTCTGTGCTCCATACTGGCGACTGATGTTTGCAGGTCGTTGGGTTGTGCTCAAAGATGTCGACAACGACGAGGTAGCACGCTTTCGCAGATCGGCACGTTGATGAGCTTCATAAGCTTCTCGAGTGAGCTCGACACCCTTTTGGTGAATCCCATAAGGATCTACATAAATGCCGGAGTCACAGTCGAAAGTCTGGCAACGACAAACCAACCGGTGGACTTGCCCAGTCTTCTTCTCGCGAGGAGCCATGCTTTTTATGGTTGATGAATTCCAGCTTTTTAGTCTACTCGAACTTTTTACGTTTAGACAGGGCCGCGACTGAGGGGGAAATAATGAAAAGAAAAGATATGATGTGCGAGAACAGTGTAAGAATTGCGAAAAGAAGGCGAAAAGAAGGCGAAAAGTGAGCTCTCAAGAAAGATCTATGAGGAATAGATGTGAGGTGTAACCTAGAAGGAGGAAGGGTACTAGATCAGCCGAGCTGAAGTCTTCATCCATTTTTGCAGTGTCAGCTTATAAATGCCCAGAAACAGCCTATGACTCTTGAAACAGATAGATAGCAAGAACAGGCTTGTGAGCGAGATTGGTTTGAAGCTTTTTCTCAACCGCCTGTCACCTGATGCTACTAATCAATTCACTCTACGGTCAGTAGTGTCCTGCTGCAACATATAGTGTTCATTGGAAATAAACAGGATGTTGTATCAATTCTTAGCACAAGTCAATAGATTACATAGATAGGATGGGTACACATGAAGACGGGTCAGATCTGGCGTGACAAAAGTTCTTGATACAGAGTCTTAGCACAAGTTGATATTACTACCAGGAGTGTGGGTAGTGCAGAGACCGGTAAGTTCCGGTTACATGATACACAGACTCATCACTAGACAGATGTTGAGCAATAGAAACACGGCAGGACTAGATCAAAATGGAGAGGATTAGATAAAACATTTCTTGAAATTAATTATAAGTGTAAACGTTATTATGCAACCTACCAAGAGATCAGATGTTTGCCAAGTCAGTCGATCAGTTTTATCTACAAAGAGCATATGCAACTTTAACTTTACCTCATAGACCGGTTTCCATAGGGTCTACGACCACAGAATAATGGTAGCCTTCAACAAGAAGATCATCCGTGTCCGCCTCTTCCGCAACAAATTTGATATACAAGCTGGCAAGATGGGGTCGAGTCATAGCAATAGAATGGACAAAGATCTGTGGAGCATGGCACTGAAGCGCGAATCGTAGGCTCTCAATTGGGGTTTGACGCGCTTTTTCGATTGACATGACCATAGGCTTGCGGATAAACTCGGTATTGGCCGGCAGAATAAGATCAGGGTCAACATGCTTTTTGAAAAGTACAAGCAATTGATCAATTCGGGAGCCAGGGAGGATCACAGCCTTGGGGTTTGCGGACATTATTGCGCCGGCTAGCATTTCACGTGTGGTGCGTCGATGGAGTGGGTCAAAGTCCACAGAGGCACCTTTTGGAGGGGGTGGTGGCTTTGGTGAGTCGATCAAGAAGTGGTCTAGGTGTGGTCGTACATCCTTTAAGAAGTCGGCCAGCAATTTAGCTTTGTTGTGAGTCGGGCGTGACGAGGTTTTGGGATTGAAGTGAGCTAAGATTCGGTAGTAGTCAAGATTCTTGATGGTTTGTACCTTGGCGTCAAAATCACGCTCCAGGAACACTCGAAGATCGTGAGGGAGAATTAAGATCTTGGCCGAGATCTCAGGGTCTGGAAACTTGTTGGTGTTAGGCGGGAAACCCTTGATTTGTTCGCTTGCGGTGTTAGACGACTGAGTGTTGGTGGTTAGTTCGTGTTTAGCAGCACTCGGGGAAGCCATTATCGTATTACTACTGTTAGGTGAAATCGATGAGCTTTGACCCCCCTTGGGAGACGAAACAGATTTGCGTTTCGATTTGGTCATGTCTTCATCACCACGGGAATAGAAAAGTAAGTTTTGAGACAAAAATCGAAAAAGATCGGTGGCAAAATGAATATGTATAAATATAAACGTACTAGTTGTTGGACGAAAACGGGGATAATGAGCAGTGAATGAAACTGTGAGGTCTCAAGCGGTTGAGGAGGTGAGGTGACAATTCTTGAGAGCGAAGATTTTCGCATTATATATGCTTTATGTACGTGACTGGCTGTTATAATTCAGAACCAGAAGATATCTTGATTTCGTTGCATGCTGACTTCATGGACAAAGGTCGGTTGAAAGGTGCCAGGGCTTTCGTTTTACAGAAGAAGAATCTTGAAGATATTAATGGTTGATATGATTCCGAATCCCAGATACATACATCTATTTAAAATCAAGTAAGTTGATTTACATACATAATACATATATTAACGGTGGACTAAGAGATTTTCTCTTTACTAAAGGCTTGCATACATATGAGAAAAGAAAACTTTAACAATAATATTATACGTGGGACCTAATTCCTAAACCCATGCAAAAAGATGAACTTTTTTGTAGTGTAAGATCCTTTCCCGTCTGAGTCATCACTTTTCAACGGATCTTGTTGTGACTGCCTCCAGAATAGATTGTCCTCTTCTTCTTCTAATAAAGGTTCCAACTGGCCTTCTCCTTTGATAAGTTGGCCTTGACATCCTTGGCTTTCTTTTACTTCTTTGCCGCCTTCACCTTCTCCATCGGCACCTCCAATGTTTCCACTACCCCCAACATCTTGTCCCCTTAAGCCCCCTGACACCAATCTTGTTCTTCTCATCGCTCCAATTCGGTCTTCAGATCCTCCAATTCTATTTGTTATTGAGCCTGCTCCTTCCATGTCTAGATTTTTTAATCAAATTAATGAAAGAATTTCAATCAATTAATTTGAGATCAAACAAGTTGAGCTTTGATTGAATTGTTCTGGCTGGTGAGGTGACGACAAAGATGTTGGCTGTATCTGATCAGGAGTGGTGGAGTACTTATTCTCGCACGGCACCCAGTGAAATTTTGTCTCCTGTACGTAACACTCAGATACAGATCTTTAAGTCGCCTCACCAGCCCTTAAGGTCTATGGGCTTTAGAACCAATACCGTCCCTCCTTGGTTCTATGAAAGCAAGTGTCATGACAACTCAGGACTTGGATTTTAGCCAAGCAAGATACTTATTATATTTTTTTAGGATATTTATCAGGCAATTCAAGAAGGCTTGCTAGAAACTCTACAAGTCTCAAAAACTCTGAACCAGGCACACAGAAGTTCAAGACTTTTTAGCACTTTATCTTAGGCTGATCTGAATCTGTATTGGGTTATCTTACTTTGCAACTGTTTCATTTATTATGCTCTACTTGGTGGTTCCAAACCAGTTAATTAATGCACAGGGACATGTGCCTGCACTGAAGTGAGAAGTGCAGTGGCTGCCACCCGAATGGCTTTTCTGATCAAAATGAAACTAGATGCATCTGAATCTTATCTTTTTTCTATTGTATTTGTTGTCGCTTTTGATTTCTTCATTGATCATTGCTTTTGATCATTAAGTTTTTTGTGATGAGCTTGTTTGATCAATTCACATGGGGCATTTATGGCCAGACAAGGACTGACAAGTCAAAGTGACATTAGGAGAATGAGAGCTGATGATACAACATTGCAATACTGTGAAAACCATTGCAAGATAGCTACAAAATACAAATGTTTTGCAAGCAACAAGAGTTATAAATTGAAGGAAACCACAATAACTATCATTTGGCATCATTGATTGGACCTTTGTAATTGTTGCACACCAAGACACATATTCCAGATAAGAATACTGAACTTCTGGTGAGACTGAAGAAGAAAAAAATGGTTAGGAACTGTTAGATTTACGGGTCAGGATTAGGGGGTTAGGCTTAGGGTAGGATACAATCTTATTTTCACAAGTTTCACCATGCAGTCATTCAGTGTGTGGCACAAAAAGCCCAAAAATGTATGTCAAAGTTCAGGCGCACCTGAGAGTGCAAAAGATTCTCAAAATATCTAGTGACACACCCCACGGTTGTGACAAAAATTTCAGTGCCACGCCCGCCACCCATTTGTGCTATTACTAAATATATGTGGATTATAGCTTTCCTTCTATTATAATTTTTGTCCCTTTTGGTTTCTCCATTGATCATTGTTTGCTGTGATTAAATTTTTGCAATTGGTTTCTTTTGATCAATTAACATAAGTCATTTATACCCTGATAAAACTGACAGTTCAACTGACTGGAGCAAGATATGTGGTGGCATTGTGGGAATGAGAACGGTTGCTAAAGTATTCCAATACTGAGAAAATCATTGCAAGATAGCTTTGAAATACAAAATGACTGTCATTTGGCATCATTGATTGAAAATTTGCAGTGTTTACACGCCAGAACAATTGTTTAAGATAAGAAACTCAAATCTCTGATGAGACTGGAGAAAAAAAACCTGGTTGAAAACTGTGAGGGTTAGTTGTTGAGGGTTATGGGCGGGATTAGGGGTTAGGATTAGGGCACAATATCATATAGTTTACACAATCTGCACTATGCAGTCATTTAGGGTGTGGCACAAACAGCCCTAAGCAGATGTGTCATATTTCAGGTGCGCCTCGGAGCACACCAAATTCTTAACAATATCTTCAGGAACACCCCACAGTTATTCTTCAGGTTGTGACAAAAATGCCACTGCGTCGCCGGCCACCCAATTGCACTAGTAAAGAATGTAAATTTCAACTTATATTCTAAGAAGCTATGATTATCAAAAGTATAAAATATTTTGGATAAGTTGGAGAACTTATTATTCAAAATCTGAGGATAGGGAAAGACAAATTCAAAAAATAAGAAAGAACAAAGAAATTCATCTAGAATGTAATAAAAAATTAGTCTAGAATGATGTGGATGGAGGTAAAGAGTGGCATAAAAATCAAAAAGTAAATCTTTCCTAGACTAAACACAAAGCAATACAAGGTTTTCCCAAAGTATCAGGAGGAGAAAAGTCGGCCTTCAAAGGGAAATGTATCAATAGATGTTGTAAATGATAAAGCTTGAATTTCTTCTTCCTGGTTCATCATTAATGTTCCAATTGACTCCGAGATTTCTGATCTTTCCTTTTGCAAGGGAATTCTTGAGTAACATACCCAAGCTGTTTGCTCCTTAAAACCAGAAATGGTAGTCCAATTATTACTCAAAAGCCTTGCCATACCATTATTTTCAGCCTCGTCAAATTCCCAAACTCCAAGAATACCATTTACTGAACAAATAACATTACACCAAAAATGAAACCCTCTGAAGCAACCTCTTGTCATCATTATATATTTAGCTATGTTGATGGTAATATATAGTGGCCAATTAGTTTTCTTTGAGTACGTATCTTTTTTGAATATATCCAATTGGTTTTCCATTAACGCTATACAAAAGTACAAATGTAATGTAGCACAATTAAAATCTCTTATATGTAGTTCCAATTTTACAATTCTGTTTCTGTGTCCCTCTGGGAACTCTTTGCAAATTCTCTTCTCCATATGTGTTAAGCCTTCTGATGCCCAGCTTTATAGTATTTCTCCAAGTCCTTTCTCTTGGACACCAGCCCACTGGAACATATGGTCAGTGATAGCTGAGATAGATGTAGATTTTGTGGTATGGTAATTATGATTTGAATTTCCAATACAGGTTGAGCTCCTGCAGAGTTCAATTTTGAATAGAGCAACAAGGTCATATGTCAGAAGGGCTTGCATGAATTCACAAGCTGAAGCAAATCCATTGTTTTTAAAAGATGATTTGTATTCCAAGATATCTTGAAGGGCTTGATGTGATATATTCTGTGCTGCAGCCAGGATTTTTGTCATGATCTTTCTGTCTAGTCTTTGGAAGCTGGATCAAGAGTTGAAATGGCCGTAGAGCTGGAAAACTAGGTAACTTTTAGGAAAGTCAATATACATTAACCAAGATGAACCAAAAAGAGAATATAGTGACTCAAGCACAGCAGTCTGCCAACATCAATTGGTTGTAAACTTTCTCATAAGTTTTACCATATGATTGATAGATTGACAACACCGATCCATTGATATTCTGCAAGCCTTCTGATGAACCATGCTCTTCTTCCTTGTCCTGATTCTTTTCATCTCCAGGCTTTACTATGATGTAATTCATCCTGTCATTCTTATATTGCTTGGAATTTGTAATTTGTTTTTCAAGGCAACTATTGTCATGATACTCCAAATTTTTAACAAAATCTAATAATTTTATCATTTCAGTAATAAGAATACACTTGCCTTTCCTGAATTGAAGATAGGTTTTTATTATCAGGATACTTGATGATAATAAGTCAAAAAAATGAGAAAAATATGACATACCATTTTGGATAACATGCCTTTGGCATGGCCTTATTGCCATGTTCTTCACTTACTTCATCATTGCTATCCGGGCCAGGTAAAGGTTGGTCATCTTATGGTTCTGGCTTCTTTGCATGATCCAAGAGTATCCAATATATAAAACTTATGAATCCGGGTTTTGGCACCCAGGAAATCTTTGTAGAAGGTATGAAACCTTGCTTGAATAGAATCTCAAGCGGGTTTACCTGGTAACATCAAAGCTTTGCCTTGATTTACCCAAGCTGGCTAAACATGATAGTTATCATATTATTAGATCAAGATCAGATATATAGATTATCACCGGGGAATATTACTCACCTCTTGGCTGGGAAGTACCATGGAAGTATTAATTTTGACTTGGTTGATGGCAATCAGGAAAAGCTCTTCAGGCCTGTTGAGTTTCAATTGGATTCACTCTTCATTCATACTCTTGAAAAAATTGATATACGCCTCCATGGAACCAGACATCTCAGCTTGAGAAAATTACACAATTTACTGAATAAGTTGTCTCTGAAGCTGTTCTGATAAGTCTTTCTCACTGATTCTTAATGTTACTGTAAAATGAGCTCTGTAGTGATCTTTGGTGAGATTATCTACCCAACTAATCAGGGCTGGTACCCACTCTTGAGTCTTCTCTTCAAAAAATAACCATTCTCGAAGGGCCAATATATACTATTGCAAAGAAGACCACCGGAATAGTGTTTGCTGGTCTTGTCTTTATCTAGAAGGATCTTCCGCATCCAATGACTATGCAAGGATATATGGTGACTGAGGTCATGCATAGAGAATGAGACTATTTGCATCTCATGCATATGATTTCCAGTGAGAGAATTCCAGTCTATTGAAATGTGAATTGAATCTACTCCTGGATCTACCTGTGGAAGCAATTCACGTTATACATATCATAAGTCTTTATTGAAGATCTTTTCATTTTCAAAGCAGAAAAATATACCTTTGGGCCTTGAGGATTTGTATCCTGGGGCCATTGATATATTTCCTTTCCTTCTTGTCATACAAATATATAGTAGTTCTCATTCTTCTTATCAGATTTCCATCCTGAATTGCATTTGACATGTTCTTGAAGGGCTCCAAAAAAAGTTCCTCTGAGGCCAGTAAAACTATGGTATTTGGAGGCGTTTATTGAAGACTCAGTGTTCAGTTGTATGGTCTGATTAATGATAGAGACATAGGACTTACAAATTTAATAGCTGAGTGATCATCTTGTGGCTGGTTGGTAGTGATTTTATGAATTCTGAGACAAAAATAATATTATCATCGTGATAAGTTGAATCATCTACTTGTTGAGTTTCAATGTTATCATTAATGAAACTAGTATTCATAGATTTTTCATTGTGAAGCACGAGATTTGCCTACCATCAGGTTGGATTGTACTAGGTTTAATTCTTTGCTTTTGATAATCTACTCCATCAATAAGTTGAGACTGTGTCTTTGGCCTGTCTGAACAACTACGTTGCTTCTCTTACTGCCTGATTTCTTTTTTTGTTCTTCTTCATCTTTAGTTTTAATCCAAAATCTTATCTTTATTATTATCTTGCAAGATCTATGAAGTATGATGTTATTATCTTCAAAGACTAATAGAAAAACTGTATAAGAGTTATGATGAATAATAATTAATCTTGATATTAATCAATATTTAGATATGCTGAATGAATAGGAATTATTATATAATCCTTTGAATAACACAAATAACCCAAATTAATTCTTAGAATGATCAACTCAGTTGATGCAAGTAAAGCCATGGGTTGTGATTGATCAATGATCAGCCTTGCTTGCTCCCAATCAAGATCAGTCCAAATGAAGAGGGAAATTTGGTCATAGCTTATATGAAGTTATGTGAAAATAACTTAATCCAAGCATGAGACTTTGATACACTCAAATATAGGGGTGATATCCTGGAGAGTAGCAAGGTTTGGTGATGGCCTCAGATTCTCTCAACGGGCTCCTCTTGTGTTGACTCCATATTTCATGTTTGCTTGGGCTTGGCTACGCCCAAAGTTTCTATCAATTTTACTCATTTTCAGGTACTACTGATTTCATATGAGAGCATCTCTTATATGGCCAAATTGAAATTATCTGAAGGGTTGTGGAGGCAGAGACCCCAGCTCTCATGTGAGCCCCTACATTTTCCTACACCCCAAATGGGAAATAGAAATGTAGCAACTTGGACTGTAAAAACCATTGTTTCCAGAAGCCATCAATCATTTGATGAGGATCAGATCTATCCCACAGACCCGTTCCAACTTGCTCCAGCAAATTTTTACATGTTGAAGGTGGTATTGTAATATAACAAGAATTATATTGACTCTGAGAAAATCAAAAAATATTGGGATAAAGTAATAATCTGCCAAAAGGAATGGTTCATTTGAACAAACAAATCTTATTTCCAGTGAAAGCAATCAAAAACTATTGAAGCTCTTGAAAGCTTTGCCGCAGAACAAAAAATATAGTTGTACACTATATTTTCAATTTTGGAAACATTGTAAATACTCTGGGAATACCTATCCTATTCCAAAACTAGACTGAAGAAAGTAACATATCATGTTGGATGCAAGACAACAAAGGCTCTTATGATATTTCACATAATGAAGAATGAATTATGTTTTTGCCACAGGGGGATATTTTTATTCAATAGCTCTCAGTATCTTCCATCAAGTTATCTCTCCACTTATACTTTCACCAACCTCTAAAGACTAATTATTCTAAGCTCATTGTATCTAATGGTATTGCAAGATCTGAATCATCGAAATCATATTATAATACTTCATCATCCAACTATGGAGTCTCAACTAACAAATACAGATATTCACAGGCCACAGAACAGCCACCATATTACACAACCCAGACAAAAAGGGAGAAAGAGGCCACGGGCAGTTGCATAGTTTAACTAAACTCCTGCCTAAGCCGATGTATCTCATGCCTGAAGTTGATTTAATCGTCATTGTGAAAGAAAGTACTGAAGCTTCATCAAGTAACATACTTAAAGAGGACTTGATCATAAATGGTAATGATATAGTTTATCAAATCCTTTCAAGATATCATTGTAAGAGCCAAAGGAGAGGAGAGATGTAGGGATCTTTTTATCTAATTGAATTTCCATGCTTCAATATTTCTGATCTTTATATTGCCTTTCAGGATATCAATACTGGATTATAGCAAGAAATGGTACTTTTGTCAATGGGCAGACCAGAGGAATGGACTAAGCTGGAGAATAGGGATATCATAAGCTTCAAATAGAAATTCAAACCAAATGAAATATACTAGGTTACGGTATATGTTCAATCATGAATATGATTGGTTCAGATCCGGCTTGGACCACTTCCTGAAGAGAAGAAGGCAAAAATTTGCAGGACTTGAATTCATGATCTCTATTTCATCTCATTTGCCAATCTTTCTTATGAATCTTATTATTTTCCATATCATGATTCAGAGATTTATTTCTATGAGCACTCTTCAATTCAGAACTTATAGATGGCATGAACAAAAATATAGGTGCTTATAGTATTACTGCACAGAAGGTTCATGCTTTATAAACGTTTATCTCACCTCTAGGCCAGTGAGTTGATATCTTATTATAATTATGATTTGTAATTAACTCTGTCATCCAAAGCTTACTAATTATCTTTAATTATATTTGCAGTTGAACGTGTACTACAACTTGGAAAGTATTTGATTGGTGTAATGGTGACTTGAAAGCTATCAAACTCATCCAGAAGAGAGTAAATAAATTTCTGGGCATCTCTTTTTGATCTTCAATATTTTTTTCCTATATATTGACTTCTATATGGATCCCACAGGATAATGAAAATGGACCATGTAATCATTTCCAAAACTATATATGAAAACTTTGAAGACTACTGATTTTATCATGTTTTTGATACAATATCAAGATAAACTTATTGATTTTCAAAGAGAAAATGGCTGACCATGTAAGTTTCTCATGTTTCCTAACCCCTGAAGTGATGAATGGTCTTCTAGATTTTTACTGTTAAAGTACGACCCAATGGTGTATAGATTGTAACTTGTATTAGATCTTTTGATATTTCAATAACTAAATTATTGGGTTCTAATGCAGAATATTATAATATCAATTCAGCTTCCAATAATTTATATCATATGGAGTCATGTTAACACAAAGGAGATATGCTTCATTATCTTTTTCTTTACTTTTGAAGGGTCTACCAAAAGAAAACATCATTATGAGAAGATTCAAGTTTTACAATTTGATTGCGTCTTCACACCAAAGGGACGACATGTGGAGGACTTCCATGGTACGGAAGAGAGTGGTGGAGACTAGGTACACATGTAACAATTTACATAGGTGACGGGTAGTCAGAGAGTCGCAGAAATACAGGGAAAAGGAAATAACAAAAATTTCCTTTTCCCCTCTGAAACTCTCAACCCCGCCTAGTCTCTCAGAAAGACAAGCTTTCAGAATAGTGAAGCTTAATCTTGATAGCTTAACCTTCCTTTTTTCTTTTGGAACCATCTAATCATCGTCATATCAATTTCATCGTAACATTTAAAAAGTCTCCGCGCTTCCATCAAATCCAATCACAACCAACCAAACACAACACGAACAGATTACAATCCCCAACAACGCACACGAGTCAGAACAAACATGGACAGCGATGAATTCCAGAAGAGAATAGATGAACAAGTTAGGAACATATGCGACGAAAGAAATGAGAAGGCAGAAGGAACAAGCAGAAGAGAGCAAGAAGAGGAGAACGTAGGCGCTGGGAATTTAGGAGAGAAGGGAAAAGGAGTGGAGGCCGGCGAAGAAGAAGAAGAGCAAGAGGAAGATCAAGAAGGCAGTAAATCAGAACAGAAGAAAATCGGAACAATAAAATCCACTAGACAACCTAGAACGAAAACGCCGGCCACAAGACAGTCCAAACGGAAGAATGGACAACCCCCCGAAGGAGAATCACAACTGGTCGGACCAGTCAGGATCAAGAAACCTAGGGGGAAGACGGAAGGAGTCGTCAATGACTCTCAACCTATGGGATCGAACAACGCCACCCCAACAATGACCACTCAGGCAACCCACCAACCATCAAACCGACTCACCACAACTACAGAACCCCGACAACATGAACTCGACAACCAAGACGCCGAGCAAGACACCGAAGGAGAATCGGCGGAAGAGGATGAGAACAAGGGTAGGATCCTGGGAGGTATATATCTGGATGATGACACAAATGGTAAGTTAAAAAAAAAAAAAAAAAAGAACCCCAATTCTTCCATAACTGGGAATGCCTCTACGGAGATGAAAAGGAAAATTCCCCCGGGAAATGGAATAGATCCAAAAGGAACATATCCACAAAGGAATATATCAAAAAAAAAAAAAACGTACGGGAGAATGACAAAGACTGACAAAAGGTTTGATGAATGGGAAATAGATGCGAACGCCCAGTCGAAAGAAACCGCCCCAATGTCAATGGAAGACAGGATGAGCCAAAGACTCGACATCGAGATAGATGCAGCCTTTGCCGCTAACGACAGGAAACTATACGACCAACTGTCGGCGGAGAAAAGAAGTTGGCTAGAGTTCAAGGCAAAAAGCCAAACCGAAGAAACGCCTGGGAGTACGGAAAAAGGTGTCAAAGAAGTTAGCGCCAAGAAAAAGGTGAAAGTGATGAGAGGGAAGGAGTTGGTAAACGACCTGGTAGCCTTATCACCATATTGGGCAACGGCCATGAAAGACCTGTCCAGATACATTCCTCTTTCTATCTTTGATCCATCATGGTTACGACAAGATCTAAATGTAACGTCCAACAAATCCTCCCGAACGAAAACCAAAGATGCGGACTCCATTGCGTATAACGGCTCCCCGGTCCCGAGCGAATGGAGAACGTCGGTAGCCCAATGGCATCGACAGAAAGATTTGTTCTTAGCGTATTACGAATTTTACAAGCATGACGAAGTCGTGGTGTCGATGAGAGAACATTTTGAGAATGTTCTGGAAATCCAAAAAGAAAACGACGGTTGTTGGATTATGGCATTCAGATATGACATAGAAATGCGGCAAACTTACCTTACGTTCAGAGTTGGTGAAGACGAAGACATGGCGGATATAGGGGTGCGAAACAAGAAGATAGAGAGACGAGCTGAAAGGCAGACGGTGATGAGGAACGATGACCTATTTCTCGACAATCCTTATGCTTATGGTCAGTCAAAGAGGAATATTGATCCAATTGACGGATCAAATTGGGAAGGCAAACCAACGGCCTGGGACGACCCCAGCCGAGGCGAGTCGAAGGAGGAGAAGTCAGATTCCGTCAAGAATAGTCAGTCGGTCAGATCAGCCTTATGGGCACAGGCGAGGAGTGAACCCCACACTACCAATCTCACCCCAACGGTCTATCACAATCAAAACCACCAACACCCCGCCACCCCAACAACGTACACGCCCTCCTTCCACCCCCAACCCAACCAGCGGGTCATTGACCGGGAATGAACCCAAACTATAGGGGAAATCCACAGAACTACATTCCGAATTACCGACCGAGCTTTAGAGGAGGCAGAAGTGCCGGACCTGATGGAGGCTCAGGGAGCGGCCATGGTGGAGTAGGACAGAGTCAAGGAAGTTGGGGTAGAGGGAAGCAAGGGGAAGAAGGATCAAACCATCAGAATCAAGGGAGTCAGAAAGGAGGAGGAAGTGCAGGACAAGGGTACGCACAAAAGAAGTGAGTAACGCAAAGGTGCTGAGACCTTCTTACCCTACACCATATAGCATTCCCCCCCCAAAATTTCTTTTCTTTCTCGCCCAATGAAAAAGAGCTATTGTAGCACAATGAACTTGCCGAAACAGAATGAGAATGTGACTGGAAAGAAAGAGAAATACATATTCATATGTAAATAACTGAGAGAAAATAAAGAGTGAGAATTGATCACTGACTAAAACTCTCACATTCTTCCCTTGACGTGAAACCACGTGATTGGCACTCCAGCCTAGACCAAGAAGTAGATTTCCAAATCCCACACTTCACGGCCACAAAAGACAATAGGTGGCCGTCGGGAGTGAGATGCGAACTCAACGTGCCAGAGTGGGAGGAGTTGATGAACGAATTTGACCTCATGAATGAATGGGGCGATGTGATCCAAAGTTTCAAAGACGGTTTTGACCAAGGTATACCGGACCACACGATCCAGGACTGGCCGTGGTACACACCGCCCAATCAGGAATCAGCAAATTTAGTGAGAGACAAAATAGAAAAAATGATACAGAAAGAAAAAGGAGAAGGCAAGCTTTACGGACCATTCACCCATCAAGAGGTTCATACACTACACAAAATGTCATCTTTACCCGGCGGTAAAGAAAACTACTGACATAGAAAAGTCCTGAGGCAACAGGAAGAGAGCTAAAAATCTGAAAAAATATGCACCTTGTTCCTAGATGTTGGGGCGTCATGACACATATTTTTTTGTATTTTACACACAGATATTGGTTAATGTACTAACAATAAAGGCTGAGAATCATCAAAAACCCACCTGTAACAATACCTGAAATTTGGCCCTTGACTTTGAAGACAGGATTTTGGAATCTTCAAACATCAATAACTTTTGCAGTTCTGAATCAAATCACTCGATTTGAAGTGCATTAAAAAGGTGAGCCTTTCCTCTACATTTTTCACTGAGACATCACATCTGTAGCTGGTCTAAAAAAGATCCTACAGAGCTATTCATGCAGAACTGTTTGAACATATGTAGAGTGTT